CCCTGTGGACTGGGACGCAGAAGCAGTGGTGCCGGCCGTCGGGCCTGGACCACGGGGGAGGTGGCAGGGCGGCCGCCTGGCCATGGAGGAGGGCCGAGGGAAAGACAGGAGCTTGTCTGGGAAAAGGGGAATGGGATGCTGGTGGGAGTCTGTGCCGGGGGAGATGAGATGGGGGCGGGGATGCAGCCCTCAGAGACAAGGCTCATGTCTCTGCAGGATCCTTCTGGCTGGGACAGGGCTGGTGAGAACAGTCGGCATCGAGTTGGTTCTGACGCACAGAGCCCTGCGTGGGCCAGCGCACAGCTCTCCCTGGGGCTTCTGGGCCGTGACCCTGAAGCGGCAGATTTCCAGGCCTTTCTTGCAGGGTTCCTCCGGGTAGGTTCAAACCTGCAGTCTCTGGGTTCGCAGCCAAACGCTTCACCGTCGGCGTCACCGGGGACGCCCGTGCTCAGGGCCCGGAGGCCCCGCTCCTCCGGGTGTGGGGTGTGGGTGGCACTGCTGTCCCGCTCTGGTCCTTGACCCTGGTGCGAAGTGGTCGTCCTCCATTGCCACCGACTGCGGTCGGCCGCTGCAGCCTGCGAGTGGGCCGTGGCCATGCTGCTGTTTGCGCTCTTTGGCCTCCTGGCCGTCGACTTCTCCTGCCTGGACAGATGCACCTTGTGTCTTCAGGCGGCCCCTGGCCTCAGCCCCCCACCTCTGGCCGCCCCCGTCTCCCCGCACACCCAGCTGTCCCAGGCGCTCTGACGGGACTCCCACCGACAGCCGAGGAACAGCCACCCCAGGCCCCCACGTGAACCCTGGGGACCTGTCCAGCGGCCCAGGAAGAATGGGAGGCTGTGGGTGGCTCGTCCCCGCCCCCGGCCCAGAGCCAAATGGACGTGTGCGGCGTCGCGGACGACCGACCCGCACAGAGGCCGTGACTTCACGAGTTCCTGCTGCCGCCACCAGGGCTGAGGGCCAGCCCGGCGGCCGGAAGGAGAGCCCGGGGCAGCTGGCCGGCCCTGGTCAAGGTTATTTATTTAATTTTCTGCCGCCGGCGGAATCAGAGACAAGGACGCAGGCAGGATCACGCGAAACCAGAATTCCTTCCGGAGAGCAAATCCGTACAGAACGCCATCGGGGCGCGGGGCGGGGCAGGGTCTGGGAGGGGTGAGGCCAGGGAGGCCGGGAAGGGGGGAGGTACGGACACAGGGACAGCCAGCCCTGTCTGGATCTGCTAAGCCACCCCAACCAGCGCCCGTCCCTCCCCCACCCCACCCCGCAGAGAGACTGATCAATAAATAAAATAATAAATTAATCAATAAATAAAATAGAAACGGCTCCCTCGCCCCCAGTCACCCCTAGATTCCCCCCCAGTGGGCACGGCCCCTTTAAGCCCCATCCCTGCAGGGCAAGGCCGGATTTTGTGTCCCCCCCCACTTCCTCCTTGGGCCCTATTTACAGATTCACAGTTGGGGGGGCAGGGGAGGGGGTGGAGGGGCATCCCCTCCCTCCCTGGCCCCCTGGGGTCAGGGCAAAGGGGTCCCGTTGGTGGCCAGGAGCTTCTTGTCCTTGGGAGGGCCTCGGCGGGCCGAGCCACTGCGCTCTGGGTCGGGGCGGCCAGGCGGGGGCTGCAGGCTTCGGGGTGGGGTGCCCGCTGGCCGGGTCTGGGCCCCGTTCTTCTCATCTGTGAGGGAGGAAGAGGCCGTAGGTGGGCCTCAGGGCTACGGAGCCCAAGGTGCCTCGGTACCCCCAGAGCCACATGACTCCTGGGGACTTGCTCTGGCAACAATCCTATTGAGGTATCATCTCCGATCGCGGGGCTCATCAGGAGCCCATTGCTATGGCACGTGCCCTGGCAACAAGGCCTGGCTTCCCTACAACAGAAGGGACCTACACCCTAAGCCTCTTCCAACCCCTGTGGCTTTAGAAACAAGGCCAAGTTACTCCATGTGGGGCACCTGACTTTAGGAGACAGTCTCTGGGACTCTGTCCCTAGTACTGTTTGCTGAGGGACAGCTCACCCACGTAACAGGTAAGGCTCAAGTCCCACTGATCCCAGCTAGAGCACCCACCTTACCTTCCACTCTCATGGCTACCTGAAAAGATTAAAAAAAAAAAAAACCTACTGCCAACAAGTCGATTCTGATTCATAGCAACCCTGTGTTGTTGTTGTTATGTGCTGTCGAGTGGGACCCGACTCATAGCGACCCCTCCTTGGGTTTCCGAGGTAGTATCACTATGGAAGTTGATTGCCCTATCTTCTTTCCAGGGGTGGCTGATGGGTTTGAACCGCCAGCCTTCTGATTAGCAGTCAAGTGCCTTAGGCACTATGCCACCAGAGCTCCTTAGCAACCCTATAGAGCAGAGTAAAACTGTCCCATAGGGTTTCCAAAGCTGTAAATGTTTACAGAAGCAGATCAAGCTGCCAATCTAACATAGTAGCTGCCCCACCAGGGCTCCCGAGACCTTTTGAGGACTTTTTCTGAGCAGAAAGGCTCTGCACTTAGAATACTAGTTGCCAGCTCTGGACTCTATTAGCAACAGACCTTGCTGAGGCCCGTCCTCTGCTGTTTCCTGGTTGCTAGGGAATCCCATTCCCTGACAACCATGCCCAGGGAGGCCAGGGAAGCTCCCTTCCTCAGACAAACCGTGGACGTTCCACACTCCAAGAACTCAGCTTACAACACGGTAGCGAGGGACCGCTGGGACCTAGCAACAAGGCCAGGCGAGACTCAGGTTCTTGAAAACCAAGCCCAGCAGGGCCGGTGAAGGTGGCATCCGCAGATGAGGTGACCAGCTCAACCCAGGTTTGCCTGGGGCTGTCCTGATTTTCATAGGAGTCCTACATCCCGGAAAGGCCCCCTGGAAAACTACAAATTCCATGGTGCTCCATGAGGGAGTTAGGCTAGTGCTAAGGCGGGTGAACCAGCGCCCCCGTTCCGGACAGAATTCTGGATGCTGTTGGAAGGTAGTCCCACTACCCCCGGCATAGAGACCCTTCACTCAGGGCCCCCTGCTGGACGCAGAGGTGGGTCCTGGGGTCCTGGGGAGCCCCTTCCCTGCCCCGAGGCCCACCTAAACCCTGGATCCTCGGCGTTTCACAAACAACCATGAGGTGTCAGCAAAACAACCACAAAAGAGCTTGGTCCAGGGTGAACCATGTCCACTGAAGAGAAATGTTCAAGTCCTGAGTCCCGCCCCGTGTGAACATGACCTTGTGTGGAACCGGGGTCTCTGCAGGTGTCATTACGATGAGGTCATCACGGTGGGCCCTAACCCAGCACACTGCTGTGGTGTCCAGCTGTGTCCAGCTGTGTCCAGCTGTGTGCAGGGTGGATCTGCCCTCCAGGCCGGTCAAGGCCCTGAGCTGTCGGAAGCAGAGCACAGGCCTTGTTTCTGAGCTGGCCCTGGGGGGGCCGACAGCCAACTTTTGGTGAGTAGTCAGAGCTGAACCCTGTGTGCCACCCCGGGACTTGTGATCCGTGTGCCTGTGTGTTCACACGGGGAGAAGAGACGCGCACGCAGGAGGAAGATCGCGAGGAGGCGGCGGACACCGCGGCGGGGCCAAGCCAAGGACTGCCGCAGCACCAGAAGCTGAGGCAGGCATGGGGCAAGAACGGCCAACCGCCCCCCTGCTGTCCTCACAGGGAACGCAGCCCTGCGCAGCCCGTGAGCTCGGACGTCCTGGCTCCAGAACTGGGTGAGAGCAACCTCTGCTGTGTGAGGGCACCCAGTTTTGGTACGTTGTTAAGGCGGCCTCAGGAGACGCCTTCTGAGCCCACAGCAGAGGCCTCACCCCAGAGCAAAGCCCCGAGGGCCTGGTCATGAAGAGACAGCACGCCTGGCGGTCTCCCCCTGCGGTGCACAGGGCAGGCAGCCAGTGCCCACCGCCACCGCCACCCACCTGCTAGGGCCTGCACGGAGGGCTGGTCGTGTGTGCTCAGCAGCTGAGCCTGGATGGTCTCCACCACGCGCTTGAACCGACGGCTGGGACCTGCAGGGCACGAGGGCAGGGAGACAGGCTGCTGGGGGAGGTGATGGGAGGGCTCCCCCCACCTCCTGAACCCAGTCCCTCCACGAAGTTGGTGACTCCTCTGAGTCCCAACGTTTGTCTTCTGTTGGGAAAGGGACCAGTGTAGGCCTTGTGAATGGGCCCCTGTGCTGCTACGTAGAGACCACTCATGGGCTCCACGGGAGAAGGATGGGGCAGTCTGCTTCTGTGAACACTGACAGCCTTGGAGACCCTGTGGGGCAGTTCCACTCTGTCCTCTAGGGGCGCTGTGGGTCAGAATGGACTCCAGGCAGTGGGTGTGGTTTGGGCTTTGCTTCTGTGAAGACT